TGAAATTATCTCTTTGTATAATGAACCTATTCAAAAACTAACATTGTCATTTATACTTAATAAAACGTAATCAATAAAAAAACTTATTTCTGTAAATAAAATGATTTATGACTGCTTGGTTTATACCATCTAACAGATTGTTTTTTATTTTAACTTACAAATCATCCTTTTCTTTTTAATTGCTATCTTGGATAATTTTCACTGAACGAAAAACATTAGTTTAAGTAGTAATGTTAATAGTTATACTTATTTTTAAGGAATGCAACTTTTGATGTCAAGTCAAATATGGATACAAGGAAAGAAGACTTGAGATCTCAATAGATTAAGTTTTAAAAAAATTGTGTAGCAGTTAATGGTCATACATATAGTTCCGTTTATTATTTTAAAAAGAGCAAGAACAAAGGTTGGTGCAGAATAAAATGAATTCATTTTATTTCATTAGGTTCTCATCAGCTGCTTACAACCTAAAATATTTGAAATTCAACGTTGTTACAGATATTGAAGGATGAATATATGTATCATGATGTAGCAAAGATTCCGTTAGAGTTAATGAGATCATAAAATTTTTATTTCGAATATATAGAATTTGGGAGGGAAGCTTCCATAACATAGAGGTAGTGATTAGAACTCATGAAATTAAAGCACATTAGATAATTATGCAGTGAAGTAACTAACGGTGACATTATCACCGGGTCAATCAATATGAGACTAAAAACTGCATTGACAAAAACATATCCTGCAGCTAAATTGATTGTTCTGTCCAAGACAACATGTTGTTTCACACACTCAAAGGTCGACAGGTATCTCTTTCATGTCACCACCAACTGTGTATACAAATTTAAATGTATCTGCCAAAGCAGTTACATTAGTAGAACAGAGAGGAGAGCCTACGTCCGATTCAAAGAACATATTCCGAAGTGTTTGAGATCAAACGGACTAAAAGCATTCATCACCGCTATCGCAAGACATCTCGTTGACACAGGACACGAAGTCGATATACTGAAGTCCTTCAAGGTGATCAACAAACAATCAATTTCAAACCTTTTGAAATTTGCCGAAACGATAGCAATCAAACGTTTAAAACCAGATCTTTGTAAACAAAAGGAAACAGTAATAAATCTTTCTTTGCCCTGGTAACATTACCCCCTCTTTATTGATTACGTCATTCCAACTCTTTCTGAATTCTATATTTACATCACTCATGACTGACCAACTTCAATTCATATCTCTCTTTATTACCATTAATCTATTTTCAGTTACTTCATTACATAATTATCTAATGTGCTTTAATTTCATGAGTTCTAATCACTACCTCTATGTTATGGAAGCTTCCCTCCCAAATTCTATATATTCGAAATAAAAATTTTATGATCTCATTAACTCTAACGGAATCTTTGCTACATCATGATACATATATTCATCCTTCAATATCTGTAACAACGTTGAATTTCAAATATTTTAGGTTGTAAGCAGCTGATGAGAACCTAATGAAATAAAATGAATTCATTTTATTCTGCACCAACCTTTGTTCTTGCTTTCTTTAAAGTTAATGGTCATTTTATGTGCTTATACTTAATGACTTATTTAAGATCCGGTGGCTGGTTTACTTGTCTTCCGACTAAAAAGTAACACCGTCACGAAATGAAACTTACCATTTAATTAACCGATTAACTTGAAGGGTATAAAGGATTCGTTAGTGGCGGGTTTAATACTGTCATTATTAATGGGTTAACATCCGGTCTGTATGTCATTTAGTGGTGTGTAGTATTTAAACTTTGCTTGCAATCCTAGGTTTTTTAACTAAGGTGAAATAGGGCTTTGGTTTCTTCAAGGGAGCAATGGCACCAGTGTAGCAGTAGATGGGTAAAAGTGAGCTCCATCTACATGTCAAGCGTTGAGGCGAATATTTTTTTAAAAAACGCGTCTCTTCATTAGAGTTATGGAAGCTACACCAAACCTATGAGTATATGGATTTATTACTCAACTACACGAACTACAATCCAGGACAACCTTAAATTAAGGCATAAATGAAAAAAAGATTTCCTTTTCTTGAATGCATTTGTCAGTAAGTAGGCTATTTTCAATAACATCTGTTTATTTTTATTCAAACAAGGCCTGCTAGATGAATTATTTATTTCATTTAATCGAATTTACTCGAAAGATACTGGTGAAGATGGAGTAAAGCGGCTAACTAGGAGTTTGATGCAGTACAGTCAACAAAAATGTCTATAAACTTGTAGAAAAACCGTAATATTTAAAAATCTGTTACGTTTTCTATTCCTAAAATTAACGTATTTTACATTGCATATCTTTCAGATTGAAGGCTACATAAAATGTAAGTAAGCAATAATACCAAGTCGTGTAAATGATTGCATCACATCTCATTTCTTAAAAATTATTTTTAATGCGAAACGAGTCGTAGATTCGTCGAAATAGAGAATTGATGGTAGTCAAACCTATATCGGAAAAACAAGTTCATAGGTTGAATATACCTTCATCTTTATCGTCAAATTAAAAGAACTATTGTTTTACAATATAAGGCTTTAATATCAAAGCACAGAAGTGATCTACTTAAGTTTATTGAAGAGTTCAACATTTAAATTTGAAAAATTCCTTCTTCTTTGGAAGATCAAATTTACTTAAAAATTTAATAATCTAATATAGATTTTATTTTTCACTACTTTTTTTAACCATTATTCTCGTCAGTTTTACACTCCTATATTTTATATTTATCCATTTAAGTTATGAAATAAATACGAAAACATTTTAATGTATTATTAGTTGGTACAAAAAGATATATAACACAAATGCATCACATGTTTACCATAAATGTCGTTGCCAAAATACTAAACCCAAAAAATGTTATTTGAATCCATTTGACATGATTCAGTTTTATTAGCGATTATACTTTTATTACTATTAGTTCTAGAAATATTCATATAGCATTTGATTTATCAGGGTTTTTTTGTTTCAATCTAGTTGTAATATAACTATGTCACAACGATATTTGTTCATTTTTAGTTTATGAAATAAAATGGCGAGATGATCAAAGATAAAAGGTCTAAGATTTTGAAGCGAGATTCCTACACTCATTTGGCTAAATATCATTTTGGCATTATAGCTGATGTCAGTTCGTGATGTTAACATTAAATATAATTCCTTACTCTAACGTTCAAATGTAAATCCTAATCCACCGCACTAATTTATAACCCTCGTTTAACCCTACTAAGTAGATGGACATTTTCAAGGTCATTTTAGTGTTGCTTGATGGTCGCCCATAAATTATAGTCTCATCAATTAAATCAGTTGAATATATTCAACATCTTTTGAAAAGTTATTTTATTCAGTCAATAAAAACAAATAATATAATTAGTGTATAAAGTTTATTTCTAAGATATTAAAAATAATAATTCTAAGACCCAACAGGTAAAAAGTCTTTTAGAAATTGTTCATTTTTAACTGATGTTAGTCGGTGACCAAATTTAGTTTAGAGTTGTAATGTTGGTTAAGTTAATTAATATCTATTACTATAAGGAAGGCATGAAATACTATTCAACTTTTAACATTATGAACAAATTCAACAGTTTAAACAACATCCTGTAATATGTTCTTCAATTTGACATTTGAATTATCAATAGTTGTATGATAGAAATAAAAGTTGATTGTTTTATCACCTAAAAACCATAAAGTTCACCGAATTTCAATAGGATTATTGTAAAAAAGTTTTTCATGAGATATATTTTTTATAAGTAGTAGAAATAATAAACTTTTGAACTTGTCGTATAGCTAAATATAAAATACTGGCAACATAACAATTGAAATTTCACTCATTTATTACAAAATAAACGTCTGATAATTACGTCAATATGTATTAAAACGCATTTATATTTATTCCCGACTTTATTAGACTCGTTCTTCTTTAAGCGTTGAGTCAAAAAAATTAGAAAAGTACTCAGTTTTACTTTTATTATATCCGGCTAACAGTACAAATACAATAAAGATGATTCAGAGCTATAAAGAACATAGAGGAAATCTATAATGAAATTATTAGACATTAATTCATGTTTAACTACTAACTACGCAGTATTTAATGAAACCTGCCAAAAAATGTTTCTTTAAATGAACGATACAATTCTTGGTTACAGTACCCTCTGATAATCGAAATGATTTTTATGGTCCGCTCATAGAACAATAAAACTAGATCAATTTATGAAATTATTAGTTACTGTACAGTATTTCATTTCAAGTTACTTAACAAACTATTTTAACAAAAAATGTTAAAGGGTATTAAATTTGAAAGATTTTAATACTCTAGAAACTATAATATATATTATATTCCCTAATAATTAAAACTAATTATTCATTACCAAAACGTTCTCATGGAATACTATTTATGCAATTTAATTTTCCCGCTAATTTACATATTTAGTCAAATGATTATGAAGGTTAAGTTGATTATAAATGACTTCTTTGATAAAATCACAAAAAAAAACTTTTTTCATAGCCAAAATAATTAAAAGAGGTTTAAAACAAAACCGTAATTTAACGAAATTTTCTAAAGTGTGTTATATATCCGTAAAAAAACAGTTTAAATTCATTTTAACATAAATTAAATGTTCATTTAAGCCTAATACGATGAAATACGATCACTAATTAGCATAGAATTGAGATAAAACTATGTCTGACATAATAAGATGAAAAATAAAAAGGTTATCAGAAATTAATAATACTAAGTTTTAGCATAAAATTGGAGAGACTTTGAAATATCTTTGCAAATATTAACTTCGATTGTTTCATTAACTCTATAAATATCTTGATCATATGACTGAAAACACTTGGTTGATTAATTATTTCAGAGTTAAAGTTTCACAAAAGTTATGAACCCATAACTAACACAGGCCACCAAGCCTCCTGTCCTTTCCAAACTGAAACTGATAACATTTTATAATAAAACTTATCTTTTGTTAAATAATATATTATTTTGTTATTTTAACATTTAGCTGTAGAACGCGGTAATGACTGTCCAGAAAGTCAACCTTGGCCTTGTCGAACACCTAGAATATGTCTATCTTTTGATTTTATTTGTGACGGAGAACCAGATTGTCCAGATGAATATGATGAGGATCCTGAAATGTGTACGGCGAGTAAGTTATAGTATAATACTTTTTAAGATTCTAAGAAATAAATGTTATGAGAATTATCATTCAATTTAATTATTACTAACGCTCACTATAAATGAACTCAGATAGCTAGACATAAATCAGATATCTATCGTATTTATAAAATGCATTACTATAAGAAGTGCAACATGTGATTTCAAAAGTATGCTTGAAGATTTAATTCGGCCAATTCTCATAAAATTCCTCGAAAAAATACTTCATATCTCAAAAGACAAAAGACTTCAATGGATTTACTATTTTTAATCTTGTTCATTAAATTCGTTACTTTAATATATTTTAAGCCATCATCAAAAAAACTACTGCAAATAAAGTCTTGTTCACTGTGAATCGAAATATATTTACGTATGTTATGATTAGGCTATATTTGAAGCGATTACGAGTCCATATATTTGTGAACGGTACAAAGACTCTGTGACCAAAGACCAATAAGTTAGCTACTCTGATGCGTTCCAGCCCCGTTAACTAGAGAGAGAAGTCGAAGTTCGAAACGGGGAAATATATTCCGCAAGCAACCAGAAGCACGAGTAATTCCGACCCGTCCAGTCGGGAATATGCTCGTTTATATATTGGTTTCTACACCAATTTTTGATTATTAATCAGAATAAATCACATATATAAAAGTTGTTTCATGCAAGAATATTATATGTTATATAGAATAAAATGTCATAGGGGAAAACGAAACAAATACTATACTGTGTGCTCATCAAATTAAATTAAAACGCAATTAATATTGAATAAAAATCATAATGAATAAGTCAATCTAATTTTGACTTTTCATTCCATCATAACAGATTGGATCGCTGTGAATAAAATTGGCTTTATCCAAATTTTATTTCGATCTAATCTGTTATATCTAATCTACTTATTTTCATGAATTATTGAACACTTGGACCGTATTAAAAAAACAAAAAAATTAGTTTGATGGCTGTCCAAATTCATTTTAATTGAAAATAAATTATACCATAATTATTTAAAGTAGTATGATAATAACTATGGATTTTGATTATAACAATGAAACGAGATAGCGAAAGTGCTAGTAATGCTTTATAATGATTATTTAAAGTTTTGTCAAACAGTCAATGAACCTTAGTTGTTTCATAACTTTTAACAATTGTTTGTAGACATCCAAAAACGTGTAAATAGTGTATTATTGTTGGATCACATAATTTTAGCTGTATCATATATAATTCCTATAAAATTATTCATAATAATCTGTATCAATGAAATGAACTGAAGAGTTGTTTAAAGAATAATCTTCATACTGATGGTTTTCATTTACTATTCAGTGTAAATAATCATACCAAATAGGACGAAACGCGCGTCCTGGATTCCACTGCTAGCCATTATCCATCTTTGCTTTAAAAGCTTGTGACTTAAGGCTATATCGAGGCAATCCGCACAGGATGCACATATGCCAACATAAGACTGATCGATTGCAGTCCCAAATAACGATGGGAAGACACAAGTAAAACAACACCAAGTGAATTTAATCGTATATTTTCTAAAATATGTTTCATTTGCCAACATTACAGTTTTCTAGGACTAATTTTATAAATTTTGCTATTTACTTTCTGATAGAGTTAAGGCCAGCACAAGAACATTTAGCTGGATTTATACATCGTTATCAAAATTGGCTAGTACCAAAGTTTTTAGGATATGGAACGCCGGAAGAATTAGCTGCCAAACTTGTTGGTAAGAGATATTACTTGATTGGATATGTCTATTTTAAGTTCACAGGGTTATGATAAAAAGACAAAATTGTTTTAGAATTCAAAATCGAATTATTTGTAGTCATATCTATTACTCAAATATGATAGGAGATCTTTACATCAAGTCAGTCTTGTTTAATATGAATAGTTTTAACACCAGTTATTAATGTTTAGTGCAGATTTGTAGCATTTTCAAAATTTTAACCTAATCCACTAAACCTTCTTCCTAGTTGAAATCAAAATAAATAATTTTGTGGTGTGTACTACTTATGTAGACATAGGTATATAGTATATGATGTATATATATTTGATGTTAGCCGTGAACAGAATGTCTGGCAGCAGAGAGACAAGAAGTTCGGGCAGTAAAGTATGAAAACAGAACGTAATTTGTATGAAAATTCAAGAACAAAGGAAGTCTGAGTCATTTCAGACAATTGATGGACATTTTGCAAATTGAGCATTTACTATATGGTTGTTAGATTTTACTAACTAGTTCTGTAATCGGTTGGTAAATACATTCGATTGTTCCCCACCCGTGTTCTGTTCACTACACTTTTACCACCTAATTCAGTAACTCTTCTCTATGAACACATAATGGCAAGTAATCATTATGAAGTCATCTAAAGGTGTATTTGATTTCATTAATTAAAAGCCCATCATTTCCTACCTAATTTCCGTTTTCCTTCAAGTGGCATGAGTTCATTCTTTATTAATTACATTGTGTCAGATCTCGGGATATAAATCATAAATGATTTTACTACCGTAAATCAACTTGTGTCGCAACATTTCAAAATGAACAGTAAAAACCTGCAAATTTTCATATTAGTTGTCTATTTTTTTATTTTAGGAAAATACTATAGTAAGAATGAAATATCCCTTAGTTCCTGTAATCATTTATTATGATTACATTTCTGCACCTTTGAAAAACCAGTTTACTAATAAACATACTTTTATGTGAAAATTATATTTGAAATAATCTCAGCTATTTAAATCATTAGAATTATTTGAATTTCAATCGCTGAGGTTATTTCAAATATGATTTTTACATAAAATGTCTTCTCTATACTCGGCGCCCAATTTCTGTCAAACTATTCGTTCTAATCTTGACGAATATTTGTATAATAAACACATTGTTTTAAAGAATGATATCATTTTTTGTATTATGTAATAATATAAGACTGATGAACGAAATAATTGAAATGGCTTTTTGAAGAAGACATGTTGTTTAAGTAAAACTCTCTCAAAGCTGACATTTTAGAGTCACAGTAAAAACTGATAAGATATTTGGGGAAAAAGGTGTTATCAGAACAAACCTTTATTCTAAAGAAAACTTTGTAGAAGTAGAACTGATACGTAAAATGTTTATTTAAACAGTTTTGTAAGCGTTCAGTGGTTTGAATTGAGTTACATTGACTCGATGCTCAATGCAATTGAGTTTCAACCATTCAACTGCAGATATGACAAATTTTACATTGTAACGCAAGTCATACTAAAAATGATATTTATCTAAAAAGCATTCAGAGGCTAGCAATGACTAGAAACATGTATAGGACAAAGTTTGCTTCATTTCAGTAGAACGACTCATGGTTCTCAAGTTTCGGCCCAATCCTTTTGTATGAACATATTGAGTCATAAACACTCTATGGTAGGTTACCAAACCATTTAGTATTTCTTCTAAGTGCTTACAAAACCAGACACAGTTGGATTCAATTCATGGTCTATTAATAGAACTTTATACTCAGAAGGGGTTTTGTGATTTTAGTAATTTCAATAGTTGAAATCATGAGCCGATTGAATCTAAACCTGAAACTCTATAATCTTTCATTAATTATTTATTCATTCTACTTATTAACCAGACATTCACCAAGGTTTAATCTTATCTAATGTCTAGACATTACTTTTACTAGTGAAAGTAATAGTAACTAACTTTGACTGATAATTATTCCTGCTTCAAATTTATGTGTATTTACTCTTTTTCTTATCATTACTTAATCTATATTCATACATTATTCTTCCTTAATTCCAGATTTCTTCTGGAACTATATTACTTTTGTTTATGACTGTTTCTAATTAATTTTCATACTAAATCAGAATTATTTTGCATTTCTTTTTATATTTCCTTATAATTCATTATGAATTAAGATTACAGTTGATTGCCTGATTAAGATGGGAAAGTACTAATGAAACTGCTGTATAAATAAAAATGCTTATGAATGAGAGATTATTATATTTGTCTAGATTATACTTCTAGATACATAAAAATGACTATACGTACTGTTTAAGTATTATAATGAAGAATAAGTGGATGTATAAATCCCAATGCTACATAATGAATATATTCTACCCTTAAAGAATACTAAAATACTTTCCTATAATGATGACTTTTATTATTAATTCGCTTTATAATGTACTCAATCTTGAATGTAATTGATAGTAAATAAATAATTTAGGAAAAAAGTGCTTAACTGCATTATTTATTCATTACTATTATACTATACGAACACAATGTCTTTGGAGTATAAATAGAATACCAACACATACACACACTGAAGAAGAATACATGCATATATCGTCTTGTTAATTAGAATATTGGACAGCTGTTTAGTCCTAATATGGGACACCTCAACAGCGCTTCCAGGGTTTTAGTGCCGGTCTACTTCAGACTGACCCGTAATTACAATTGTGAAAATACTATAAACTTTACAAATCCTTTATAATGATACCAATCATGTGCTCACTAGTGACTAGCTTCGAGATGTAACTTATAGCATTCTAATGAGATGCCGTGACCAGTAGAGTCTGATTCGAAACGAACATGAGATAATTTTTTACTGCAGCGAATGAATGAAGGGTCACTCAATATCATGGACTGATTAGAGTTAAACATCAACACCGTTGACTGCCAGCTCAGTGGTCTAGAGCTTAAGAGTTCATGCACGAGACCGAGAGAACTGGTATTTAGTAGCTCATGCGGGATCGCGGATGTGCACTGCTGAAAAGTTTCAAACTACGACAAAACGGCTGTTCTGTGCTTGCAGGTATTCAATAGTGATCTGGTTTAGATCAACTCATGATTTAAACTGAGAATGTATATGCCGTCAATAAACCTTATGATATTATTAAGAACATGTTTATAAAGGTGAAAAATGTCAATTTTTATTTTAATAAAACTTATAAAGAAACCTATCTCTTAAATTACAAATGAATCAGAGATTGACTGTCCACATTTCATTTCAGATCTAATCAACATTTTAACAAAAGGTATAAATGAAAGCCGTAAATACAATTCACAAAATCTTCGGGTTGTTTCTTTTTTTAATAAAAACTTTTTACGCTGGCAAATATTTTTTAAAATTTAAATTATTGTCGCAAAATTAAAACAACTTATCGCCTACTTTCAATCTTCCCGCTGCTTCCTATATATATATTATTCACTATACCAAATTGAATTTTACAAGTTGGTACAGTGGTTATTCATATATATTCTTGACTACTTATTAAATGTAACATAATCAAATAATGAAGAAATTTCATTTGCATTATACAATTTTAACTCATTCTATGTAAAACATTTCTTTACATTAAAAAACAAAATAATCTACATATTTATGATAATTTGTCGCCAGTTAAAAATTCTATAATTTTATAATTTATTTAATTGTAACAATATAAGCATAACCGGTAATATTATTTCAATTGAGATTTTTAGAGTAAAAGACGTAAAAAGAAAGAAAGAAAAAGAAAACAATAGAGCTAGAAAAATAACATTATATTGACTATACAAAGAAAAAAAGAAACATTCTAACGATGTTAGTTTATTATTTGTACGGAATGTTTCGAGATATGATCATGAAAATGAAACTATGAGATATTTGCAATTCTTTATACATATGGAGTTGTTTAACTTCTTTATGTTCAATGAATATTTCTTCGATAGGTATTGATAGTGATAAATGAGAAGAATTAAACATTAAAAGAAAATAATCTTTATTCGTAAATAAGAACTTATGTCTAAATTTGATGGAATAGTTTCACAGTATTTAGGCGCCGAGTTATTGTGAGATATTAGAGAAGAAAAATGTATTTGTAAAATCTTAACGAATGAATTTGAAGTAAATTCAACGTTTCACCTGGCAATCTGGTCTAAACATTTTTAAGGAAATTTAATCAAACATCAAAATTATCGAATATAAATAGGTACATGGTTCTCTGTTTCACTGTATACCGAATATGCCATCCGATCAGCGTTAACAATGTTTAAAGTATGTATTTACATTTGTGTGTAAGAAACATATGGTGTGAAACGAAAAGTGTTAAGATGACATATTGTGCGTATACGTAAGGGAGAAGAAAATTCGTTCACTATATATCGTATTCGGTCGGTAAATCTTAAGAAAACATACAATTTTTATAAATGATATGAATTGAAAATGTCACAGCATGCATTAAAAGAAGATAAATAAACAAGATCACGGAATGAATTCAAAAAAACACGAATGTCAGAAGCATTTTCATGGATATTATATTAATTTCAATGATGACATCATGTGTCGATTAAAGCTAGACCACCGTGAAAAACCTAGAAGCAAGGAACATTCGTTTCATTCTATTGTGGGACACCTCAGCAGTGCGCATCTACGATTCCGCGTCGCCAAGTAGTCCCACAATAAGACGAAACGGCCGTTCAGTTCTTCCAGGTTTTTCACGGTGGTGTAGCTTCACTTGTCTCATGATCTCAACCATTGAAGATGAATGTATTTGTAACTGAACGTTAATTTCATTCTAATGTTCCACTTAGTTGTTTAACATATTCAGATAAGAAAACTGATTAGAACCGTTGAATGTAATTTCTGTTATTCAGAAAATACAAGATAAAATGGAGTAAGGAGTTCAGGTTTACTTATTAATTATTAGTTGCCATGAGACAGATAGTTATCTTCCATTTCTCCTAATAATACTATTTGGACTTACCAATATATGTAAGGCCTCTGCTGTTAATTTCTTTTTGTAAGAATTAAAGCTTTTTTGAAGGGTTCTTGAGACATTGAAATCAATTGCATGACCCAATTTTATCGAGTGTAATGCTATCGCTGATTTGTTCTCAAGTTTTCTTACCTAAACTGAAGATTTAAAAACGTGCTTTAAGCATAGATTGTGTTGTTTCGCCCTCACATTCAGTTGCCTTGATGTTTCACCCACATACGTTGCATTACAGTCACTACATTTGATTTCATAAACACAATTCTGGTGTTCCTACTTGTACATTGGATCTTTGATTCTTACTGATTTTGGTCATAGAGTATTGTTTGTTCGAAAGAATACTCTTATATTTTGAGGAGTTATAATCCATTTGATCTCTTCTGGAATGCTTTTACCATGTAGGATCATCACTCTTAATTCATTCTTCATATATATATATATATATATATATATATATATATATATATATATATATATATATATATATATATATATATATATATATATATATATATATATATAACTGACACACACTACAAGTAAATGTTGATCAAACAAAAAACTATTTTTTCAGAGTGACTGACTACTTTTATTTATTTGTTGTATATTTACAAACAATAAATGAAAGTAAATCTTGACAACAATATGATAACGTTTCAAAGTAAACCGTCAACAGCTAAAAAAGATGATTAAACAGATGAACGTTTAAAATATTTAATGAAGATCTCAAACGTTTATTCTAATGCCCTACTGCACCACTACTAGTGCAAAAATATTGGGCGGCAAAATATGTTCAAAGAAGTTTTTATGTGGTCAAACGTTAAAATTTATAAACATACTTCATATAGAGTTTAAAAGGAATATTTCATATCATAACGATATTTATACTTGATCCCAGCTTTCGTTATGGTAGTGTGGTATATGCGACCGACGTAGACAGATATAAGTGGTATGTATCACCAATCGAATTTGGAATGTTTGGCGGCAGATGGTTAAGAAGATTAAAGAGAAGAGAATGAGAACAGAGATTGATTGGTGTAAAAATGAAGGGACAATCAAGTCTCAGACAATTGATTGACATTTTGCAAATGAAGTATTTACTATTTGGTTCTTAGATTTTATTGAGAGATTCTGTAATTTTCTATTCAAATACATTTGATTATCTCTATTTGTATTCTTGTTCACGGTTCAGGACATTCAATATGAATATTTATTTATTTCTGTCCAAGAAACTGGTACGTCTAATTATTGTTGAAATCAAAACATACATTCTTTTTCCTTAATCAAAAACCGGAAATGATCTTAAAATAACTCTTAATTGACTGATTAACTTCTTCATTAAATAAGGCTAGTGTAAATTATTCTGTAAAACATTTTGGTGGAAATATATTAGTTGGGTTTGTAGAAAATGTCATTGTTATTAATGTAAATATAACATACCTTCTTTGACATTTCATTATGCGAATAGAGTAAACTGTCAAACGCTTCTATATTCAAGTGCTGTTTTAAATATTTAATGTAAATACATCACTCAATACAAACTAGAAAGAAAAGAAATGCCTAAAAATGAAATGAAATATAAAAAAATTACTGACTTAGGAAATCAGTCAATTAGATTGAATGAACGTTTATCATTAATTAAATGAATAAATTTTAAGTGTTTATTTTTAAAACACTAAATGAATAAAGACAGTTTTTATATGAAGGAAAAAAACATTTTTTTGGAGCTTAATAGCAAATGACGATTATAGTTGAGAAGAAACTAAATCACAGTTGTTTAGTGATTTTTGTTTTTCAACAATTTTAAACTTAATATCAGAAGGGGATTTGTGGATATTATGGTAATTACAGTGGTTGAGATCATGAGTCAGTTGAAGCTAGAACACCATGGAAAACCTTGAAGCATCTAATGGCCGTTACGTCTTAACGTGGGACTCCTCAGTAGTGCGCTCCCATGATCTCACCCTCTGCGAGAATCGAACTCAGGACCTATCAGTTTCGCGCGCGAGCGCTTGACCACTCAACCACTGAAATTACTATATATCCACAAAACCCCTTCCGATATTATTTAACATATGCTTACTAGTAACTGGATTCAAGATGTATATCCTGGAGTTCTAGTGAGAAGCAGTGACCAGTGAAGTTCAAACAGGTCTATTGTGAGATAGTAACTCACTGATGACAATGGTGGATGTGTCTTTCAATTTTGTGGATTAGTTGAAGTTAGACATTAACACCGTTGGATGCCGGCCCAGTGGTCTAGTGGTTAAGAGAGACTGATAAGACCTGGGTTCGAATCTTGCGAGGCAGGGCCGTGGATGCGCTCTGCCGAGGAGTCCCACAATAGAACGAAATAGCCATCTAGTGCCTTCATGTTTTCCATGGTGGTCTAGCTTCAACTGACTTGTGATCTCAAACATTGAAATTCTAAAATTGTTATTATGACTATATGATTGATATCCAGATTCAATCTTTAATTGTTTATCTATTTATTTATCCGATAGATTTTATTTGTTTTTTTAAATTTTATTTTTCTTATATATAAATTAGAAAGTAAAACAGTATCAGATTATGCAAGAGCAGCAAAATTAAATGAGACACAATTAAAAAATTTAATTAAATTAATGGAAGGTGTAAAATCTGGCAAAGAAATGGAATTATTTTTATTGGGTATGCCATTAGGTGCATGGAGTGAATTATATACGTTATTTCATCGTATTTATATTAGTGGATTTTTAGATAATTTAGAACCAGCTGAAAATTTTCAATCATTAAATCGACAACAAAAAGAAGAATTTTGGAGAAATCATATTTATCAACAAGTTAAACGTTTTCTTTATTAATATTATTTTATTGAGAATGAAAACATAAATATTTTTTGCTTACAAAATGATTTTACTAACATATTATGCATGAACTTAAATATCTATGGTAACCATATGTTCATTAATAATAATAATATTTGCAATAAGTTAATTGATGAAATGTCTAATCATCCTAGTTTGATTGATTAAAATAAACAATAAACAAAAAGAAATGTATTATACATTGAGTTCTGTTGTTAATTTGTTTATTTTCTTTTGTCTTGTTTACAAAACTAATAATAAGTGAGTAATAATTTTGTATAGTGATGTGAAATGTAGATCAGTGATAAATTATTTAGTTATTATAATATAATAAAGCATTAGTTATTAACCTGTGAACTAAATAAACATAATAAATTGATTTCTTTTCGCATGAATTGTAAAAGAAACTAAATAAATTGATGGACGATGTACAATTTGATAAATAGTAGATTATAGTTTTAATGGACGAATTCGTGAATCGATCTAAGCTAAACTACCATTAAAAACATGGAAGTACTGAATGGCCGTTTCGTCCTAGTATTGGATATGAGTCCCACATGTTGGACTCTAACTTAAATCGACTTAGGAATTCACCCAATAAAATTACTACAATCTCCACAAACTTCCATTCTGAAAATAGTAGATCGATTTACTTCCTGATCAATTGAATGTATTTTCCATACTGCCAATGAACTCTAAAATAAGTAATAATACTATAAAATTGTTCATTAAATATTCATATATAATACTATTGAATTCCATATTTTACAACATCTTTACTTTTCACAATACTGATCAGCGTCAGGAACACTTGTTAATATGATATATGATCACAAATTAATAATAGTCTAATTAAATTCATTGTAACCAAATATACAATCATTTATTGTTAACACATTTTATATTTAAAACAAATGTTCTGAAATTAGAAAGTAAATCCATGAACAGTTGATAAAATTCTAGTTTAATATGATTTCACTCATTAAGTTAAAGTAGTTCATTTTTTAGATTGTTTCAATTTATAACAGAATACTTAATTGTTAGCATGAGATCGTGGATTGGTTTAAGTTAGACATTAACACCGCTAGATGACGGCTTAGGGGTCTACAAGTTAAGCGTTTGCGCACGAGACCGAAGGTCATTGCTTCGATTCATGCGTGTGGGATCGTGAATATGCACCGCTAAAGAGTCACACACTAGGACGAAACGGTCTTCTAATGCTTCCAGGTTTTTATTTATGTGGAATGAATGGTATGATGAGTATTTCTGATGTTTTATTACATAGTTGTATAGTGTGTGGACTTCATTAGGTACAATTTACACCAGTTAAATTGATGAATATATCAACAGATTGACTCGAAAATGTAGAATGTTTAAGAAACACGATGTCAAAGTTACTACTACAAAATGAAAAAAAATTGTTTGTTTAAATAAGTTTATGTCATTGTAAATAAGAGTGCAGATTGTTAGACATTGATAGCATAATTATAAAACGAATGAGACTAGTGAACTTTAATGGAATATTTCCTCAATTAATTAGTTACGAAGAATTAGATTACATATAGTATAAATACGAGAAATAAAATAAAAAATAAGATTGAAGCAAATCATGAATAAGAAACACAGAACCTAAGTGGTATTAAAACAGAGATATGAGCGTAAACTCGATTTATTTTCAAAAATAACCTGGAGTGATAGGTGTGATAAGATGTGTCTTTGATCAGTCATACGTTTCCGAAAAGCAGAATTTGTGTGTATTTGCATTAAAAAGAATCCGGATCTGAGAAATGAAAGGGTAACTGCTGGAATACTAGTTGTTTTATAATCGATCATTTTATCTGCTATTTTTTTTATTTTGGTTGCTCAAATTAGTTGTTTCCCATAGTTTTTTTCTGCTTTTATTACTACTCGTAACTGTCAAATGTTATTTCTTTTGTTATTCACGATAGAAGAAATTGATTGTTTTTCTTTATAACATTTTTGTTATCCAAAAGTATACTCGTGAGTTTATGTAAAATGTGCGTTCTACACATAATTTAACTTGATTTTTTAATTTAAAATTATTCCGGAAATTACCATCTTCATGTATAATCCTTACGAATTCTAGATAAACTATTTATAGTAAGCAAACAAGTTTTCAAGGGTAGCATAGTATTGCTTTATTTAAACTTATAAAATCGAAAGATTGTAACAAATTTTTTTGGTGTATGGTAGATGATATATTTAATAATTTCTCAACCGCCTCATTCTGAGTACATTCAATTATACATGTGAAGTACTGATCAACCGATAAAACATTTCATATTCAGTTTCTTTTGTAATGAAGAACTATAGGCATCAAGACATAAACATTAGGTTAACAAAATGGAGTTTGATTTTGGAATAAATTTCACAAATTTGTTTTTTTCGTAAATCACTTGAGTGACCACCGAAAACATGGCATCATCCATATATAATTCATTGAGGATAGAACTCTTGGAAAAATCCTTATTGTATGTTCCATGAGTGATCAAATCCAGTGCTCGAGATTAACAAGATGGCATCGAAACACTAAACTGACAACTATAAAGTTCAGATTCTGAAGTAAAATTATAATCTAATAAAAGTGGATGCGTACCATACGATGCTCTGACTCGGATACAGTGTTTAGTTATGAGATTTTAAACTTTTTCCAACGGTCGTAATGCATTGTGAAAGCTGTTGGTGTAATAACTTCAATCAATCAGTTAGTTCTAAGCAACATATATATGCATCTGTTTAAATTGATGTGCCACATCAGCTCAATGAGACGAAGTTCCTAAAATAAATTACAGTGAACTGAAATTAAAAAATCCATGACAAAAGAATGTTTACATATAGACGGTATGATCTGAGGAGAAAAAATATGTGGAACAAAGGTAGTTGAAATAATTTAGAAACCTAAGATCAAAAAGAAAACAACCATTTCTGAAGCCTATTACCGGATATGTCCAACCATTAGTCTGAATTATACCATAGATACTATCCAAACACTGTGCCTTCCACGTATTGGCTTAGCTACATTTAATTTTTTTGCGTCCATTCTTACATCAATCTACATCTTTTGTTTAGTTGGGGAGTAGAGGATTACAAGTAATATATGTCCCAATCAATAAATTTTCTCTACCTTATCAATTCAATTCGCATTCTTATGTACTACCTTGCCTCTAACCACAGTATTGCTCAGAGTTATAAAATGATGCGAATATCTACCCAGTGCTGCCTGAATTTTATTAATCTTTTAGCTGGTGTAACTACTTCATGAAAAATATCTTTCACTGATTCAAAACATTCACAAAACCACTTAGGTAGTTTCAGTTTCCAAACGTGAAATATTCCAACACTTATTACAGAAATCCAATGGCATGAAGTAACAATTTATGACAAACGAATTATTCCACACTTTTCAAAAACAAAGAAAAGTGAAATGATTGTAGATGAATTTCTTTTATGTTACTTTACTGAACTTTAACGATTATTCAAAACAAACTCGGTAATTTAAGTGCCTATGTTTAAACAATTACAATTTAAAGTTTGTATTAATACGTTATGGATATGCGGGTGTGTGTTGATGCACTCAGTACAAGCTGCAATCACAAATAAATTATCGTTAAATGCATTAAATCTACTTGAAAAATCAATTAAAGGATCAACTGCCAATAATCACAAAGCCGACTAACTGATTTCATTTTAACGACGTTTGTCAGTTATCATACTAATTGGCTTTCATATATTGTTTTCATTTTTTTGTTTATTTACGTTTCTATGAACAATAATAAAAGGATGATAAATTCAAAATAAAGTCTTGAGCAAACTAAATTCTCCATGGGTTCTATTTCTTTCAATTTTTTATGTAATCAAAGCATGAAATCAGATAAAATTATTATTAAAAACACTTAGATTTTGGTAAATGAGTGCTATATACAAGATTCAAGTGGATTATACAGAATGAAGATAGTTATGTCTTATATTTTGTAATGCTAAAATATATCTCCTAGTTTATACTACATATTAATCCCTTATTGTCCTCAAGATTTCAGTCAGGAATTACTCTCGACACCATTTTCAGTTACATTCCTATTTTTATTATTATACCATAAATATTTTATCTTGTATTGACACAATTAGGATTTTAATATGTTGATAATCCGTATCTCACCAACTTGATAATATTTATTGTAAAAATAAGTTTTTTTTGTTTTATTTCACCCCATAAAGTGAAATATAACTAATTGCGTATGATCATTATTGAGCCATTGAATAGCATAGTGATTTCATTGGGTACTTACTCATTGTTATCATACCACTTTAGCTTATCTATTCTTCTCTATTATCAGTTAGCATCTACGATAAGATCCTTGATGAAAGCACCAATTGATATAAAAATATCAAGTATTTTGAAAAATATTGTCCTTCAAGTGTCCTATATGAATGACAACTATTGTAAATCAAAGATTGGTGCAGAATAAAATGAATTCATTTTATTTCATTAGGTTCTCATCAGCTGCTTACAACCTAAAATATTTGAAATTCAACGTTGTTACAGATATTGACATACTTATACATAAGAGGGTGATGAAGGATGAATATATGTATCATGATGTAGCAAAGATTCCGTTAGAGTTAATGAGGTCATAAAATGTTTTTTTTCGAATAAATAAAGTTTGGGAGGAAAGCTTTTAGAACTGCCTCTGCCAGGGAAGTCCTACTCACTGCCTTCTCGTGGTGGGGATGTTGTTTACAAAATCGAGGGGACGAAAAGCGAATGCCCGGCGACCTAACCGGGTTGATGGACGAGGAGAGTCCACCTAGTAGGATTGGAATACTCTGATTCCGAACCAATGATGCACATGGGCTCCAGTATCCTGAAGGAAAAAATGGCGTGTGAACCAATCATTTGTCACCGGCTGTCATTGAACCGCATCTCCTAACGATGCTCCACTGCCTTGTGGACCAGACCTTTAAGTCAAAAGCTCCAG